TATTCAACATACTACTTGAAGTCCTAGCTAGAGCAATAAGACAACTAAAGGAGATCAAGAGGATTCAAATTGGGAAGGAAGAAGTCAAAGTATCACTATTTGCAAATGATATATGAGCAACCCCCAAAACTCTACCAGATAACTCCTATGTTGGGAGCTGACACCTAGCCAAAAGAGGCTATCATCTTTTCAGCCATCTCGAGCCATATACCCTGACAAGAGACTTGTTTTCAACAGCCCGAAACAGCTGAGCACACACTGATAAACATCTTGTTTTTCTCACATATCTTGTTTTGCTGTTTAGTGCTGCCAGCAGCTAGGTGCACACGTGGTCTCCACATTGCTGCAAGGCACACGTGGTCTCCTCACTGCCAGCTAGGTGCACATGATATCCACGCTGTAAGGCACATGACGTAGTGCCTTCAGCTGTGCTTGTCCATGAGGGCAAGGCACGTGGTAAAGGGTATAAATACCCAGGATTTCCTTTCAATAAACGAGACTCGAAGAGACTTGGTCAGACTCCCTGTCTTGTCTCCATTCTTCAAGTCTCCGTCCCCACTCTCTCTCTCTTGCTAGGCCCTGACCCACAGACAGGAGCAGCAGAACGGGCCATTACAAAGTGACCCCCAAACATGAGGCAGCTTGGGCAGTTACACTCCTACAGCTAAAAAACACTTTCAGCAAAGTGGCTAGATAGAAAATTAACTAAAAAGAAATCAGTAGCCCTCCTTTATACAAATGAAAAACAGACCAAGAAAAAAGTAGGGAAATAACATCATTTACAATAGTCACAAATACTATAAAAGACCTTGGTGTAACTCTAACCAAACAAGTGAAAGACCTATATGACAAGAACTCCAAATCACTGAAGAAAGAAATTAAGGTCTTAGGCAAGAACAAAGAAGTAGGCTTCAGACATGAAAATGACCTTGGGCTAGGACAGAGAGGTAGGCTCAGATAGATATTTTGGTCATCCTGATAAGCCCTTGGAAACAGTGATCATGAGAGTGATCATGGAACTTTGTTTATTGTCTTGATTGTTCTTTGACTATCTGTGTTTATTGTCTTGCTTGTTCCTTGACTATTTGCATCTATTGTACTGCTTGTTCCTCAATCTAGAACTGACCTGAATGATAGCATGTAATTAAAATGGTATAAAAGCAAAAAGGAGAAAGAGGGATGGAATAGGGGGTTTCTGGTGGTGGGTGGGTCAGGGGAATGGGGAAAGGAGATAACACCTGAAATGTAAATAAATAAAATTATCCAATAAAAAGGGAAGATATCAGAAGATGGAAAGCCCTCACATGCTCCAGTAGTGTTAAAATAGTGAAAATGGCCATCTTAGCAAAAAGCAATCTACAGATTCAATGCAATTTCCATCAAAATTCCAATACAATTCTTTACAGACCTTAAAAGAGCAATTCTCAATTTCATAGGGAAAAGAAAAACCAAACTCAAACCAAACCAACCAAACCAAAAAAAAAAAAAGAAACCCAAAAAAGACAAAAACAAACAAACAAACAAAATAGGATAACTAAAACAATTATGAACAATAAAAGAATGGAAGTATGATCATCCCTGACCTCAAGCTGTGCTACAGAACAATAGTAGTAAAAACAACAGTGAGGATATGGAACCTGAAAAGGCCACCTCCAGTACGTAGGCAGGAATCTCATTGGAGCAATAGGGACACAAACTTTCCACCCAAAATGTATTCTGACTACAAGAAATGCAGGGCAGGGGATAGAGCAGAGATTGAGGGAATGGCCAACCAATGACTAGCCCAACTTGACACAGACCCCATGGTCAAGCACCTATCCTTGACACTATCTATTAATTACACTCTGTTATGCTCGCAGACAAGTGTCTAGCATGACTGTCCTCTGAGAGGCTCCACCCAGCAGCTGACTAAAACAAATGCAGGGAACTACAGCCAAACACTGGACAGAGCTCAGAAAGACCTGTGGAAGAGTTGGGGGAAGAACTGAGGTCCCTGAAGGGGATAGGAACACCACAGGAAAACCAACAGAGTCAACTAACCTGGATTTTTAGGGGCTCTCAGAGACTGAACCACCAACCAAAGAGCATACACAGGCTGGACCTAGGCTCCCTGCACATGTAGCAGATGTGTATCTTGACCTTCATGTGGGTTCCCCAACAACTGGAGCAAGGGTTATCCCTAAAGCTGTCGCCTGTCTGTGGAATATGCTTCCTTAACTGAGCTGTCTTGTTCGGCCTCAGTGGGAAAGGATGCTCCTAGCCCTGCAAAGATGTGATCTTGCCAGGATAGGGGGATATCCAGGAGGGCCTCTATCCTATTAGAGAAGAGGGTGAGGGGGGAGTGGGGGAGGGGTGACCAGAGGGGGAGCAGCAATCTGGATGTAAAGTGAATAGATAGATAGATAGATAGATAGATAGATAGATAGATAGATAGATAAATAGATAGATAGATAGATAGAAAAATAAGTAAATAAATAAATAAATAAATAAATAAATAAATAAATAAGACAAGTTGAATGAACTGCAATATATATACCTCCACCTTATTCAATAATTCAAAGCTTGTGGTTATTCTTACAATCACACACATATAGCTCAACTACATAAAAATTAATACCACTTATTTTGGCATTATAATCTAAAGGCACACTATGTGTATCTATTTATGTGCAGACCATTTATATCTATAAAATCATAGTGCTTTCACAAAATTCTTCATTATATGTTGTATCTTTTAAATAGCTGATCTGAAATAGCTTATCTTTTCCATTATAACATAAACTTTAAAAATTCATGGAAACTACTGAACTTTGTACATAAGTAAATAAATGAATAAGTACTTTCACAACTAAAAAAAAATCATAAAGATGTTTTATAATAAAGTGTATTTTTTCCTGAAGAAAAAAAATATTTTTGTACAGGGTGTGGTGATATAAGCCTTTAGTCCCAGCACACAGGAAGCAGAGGCAGGCAGATCTCTGTGAGTTTGAGGCCAGCTTGGTCTATAAAACAAGTCCAGGACAGCCAGGGCTTGTTACACAGAGAAACCCTGTCTTGAACACCCTCCTGCAAAGTCGATTTTTACTTTCATTCTGACAGGAATGACTCTTGAACTTGAATAAGCAAGCGTCTCACATTATCTCACCTCATTCCACATTGGCAGGTAAGGAATTTGACAATTCCGATGATTAATTTTACATGGCAGCTTGACTAGGCCATGCTCTGATTGTGGTAAACATTAGCCTGGATGTGATTAGGAGAATGCTTGTAAATGAGACTGACATCTAACATAGTGGCCTGAGTAAAGCATATTATCCTTCCCACTAAAAATGGGGGAAGGGAGAACTCGATTCTCTGCCTGTCTTTGATTTATAACCTGTTTTCCTCTGCCATTGAAATCAGACTTGGATTGAAGCAAGGCATTCATCCTGGTCCTTAGACTCGAAATGAGACTATGATAGACAAGTTAATTCAAGAGTTGAGGAGAGAGACAGAGACAGAGAAGGAAAAAAGGACTCATTTAGCACTCACCTTGATCCTGGTAATCGTTCATTCTCCTGGGCTTAGGAACAGTTATCTTACTTATTTACCAACATAGCTATCATTTAAAAGAGAGTTTCGGAAATATTTGATCCTAACGTTAAAATGTCCTGGGTTTTCATGGTTGTTGTGTTTTGGGGTTTGCTTATTTGGGTTATGAAGTCATCTGATACTTCTAGAAAAGTTAGTTCTGGCTTTAAATTTTAAATCTTTCACATCCAAGTAATAGTAACGTTTCCTTTACATTTAGTCACAAATCTTCACATATACAGATGTTCAAATATGTAAATGAATCATTCTTTAACAGTACTTATTTTAAATCTCAGGTCTTCATTTTCCCTTCATAATTTTGAGAGTCTTTAACTCAAAATACTATTCATATTCTGATTAAAATTTATTCTTTCTGCACAATTTGGGATAATTTAAGACCATCTACAGGAGCCATTCCTTAATGTGGCTTATAAGCATTAAAATTAAGGTATGCTGCCCCGACCTCTGATAAAATGGTAAGGGCCTTGATTTACTTAATGCCATGTTTCTCTCTACTCTGCCTCCACAGTAAAACCCTAGTCAAACCATTCTTCATGTGGGGAGCAGTCACTGTTCCTGTTTACCCTGGGGTATCAGAATATAGCTCCTAGTAAGCACAAGGCAACACATGGACATACATGTCCTCTTTGGGAACTCATGGACAGCATATTCTCATTGCTGTTCACAGTTCCTGATCATTTACTCTACCTTCTCCAAGTCTCTTCGTGGTCTGCAGTGTTCTTGACCTTGTGCTATGAGCATGTGTGACCACAATCTTTTGTAGATCTCATATATCCAGTTTTAGATGTGTTCAGCCAGTGTCAAGTCTCCAGAGAGGGATTCTCTGCCTCACCAATAGGAGCGTTAGGAAGGAATGTACATTACCAATGTCAGGAACTACATAGCTTTCCAAACAGTTACAGGTAAAGAATATCTTGTCAGAATAAATTTACTGCTATTGGTTAATTGGTTCTGAGATATGGCAAAACCTGAAACAGAGCCTCTCATGGCTGGAGACTGAGTGGTAGACTGTATGACAGTATGTTGTCTCTGTCAACCAGTCCAGTACTGTCTCTTTCCACACGATGAAGCCCTTGTCTCCAAGATGAATATTGTTAACCATACCCTGATATCACATGATAGCAGGTTGAGTTTCTTTCACAGGTAGTTCCCTGAGGTTGCTTCTTCTAAGGGCATTCCTTGACCAAGCAGAACTTCAGCCCTGCTTACTAAGCAGGCTAGAGCTCACTGTGTCTATCCTGGTGACTGTCATGGGTTAATTGAGGGTACAATACAGATATTGTTTGTAGTTGTACATACAAGGGACAGGCCAAGGGACAACCCTCTTTGTAAGGTCTGTGGAAAGGAAGGAAAGCACCGTCCTGCAGAGACTTAAGGCATTCCAGTTGTTGTTCATGCAGGGTAGTGACCTTGCTGGGCTCCCGGGCTGCTGCCTCCCATGCTGCTGTCGTTTGGTTTCTTTTGACCCCCAGGGGCATCAGGGTGCACATCCATGGTGGCCCGTGGCCCAGGTGCTGATGAAAACAAAAAGGGGATAGGGAGAGGAAGGAGCATTTGGCACTCAACCAATCTTGGGATGCAAAACCCACTGCCAACGTGCCCTGGGTTCAGCACAGTTGCCCAAAAACACATCAAAAATCTAATTTTGCAGTCACAAACCCAAGACCACATGCAAACCATAGAAAGATAACTTTGCTGGATGTGGGCGTGGATCCCAGAGTGATGAATTAGGATTCCTAGGAGGAAGAGGTAACCACTTAGAATGCAGGCCAACAAGTTCCTGGACATTTTCCCATAACTGCACTAAAAGCCTGTGCAATAGTTATGTAGAGACAGAAGCTGAAGTATGAAATATTACTTGGATAGAAATCCAATATATTCCCAGAGTTAGTTTTCCATTAAAACTTGGTAAAAAGAGAACGTAGGAGGGTTTACCCATATAATAGAGAGTGTGGGGTTGTTCTGGAAGGTGGACTTAATCAAGTTAGAGTTGCAGATCAAGCATCCTTTCCTTATGACACATTATTGACTGAGCTTCTGTTGAGACAAAACCCATAATCTTCGGGGTTGGAGGATAACACTCATAGCATCCTACAGGTCACACCTTGGCAACCTTGTGGCACCTGTTGTAGACATTAATCCAAACCCAATGTCTTTATACATGCAAGTCAACTATTACCATGTGGTAGACCTGCAAACTTGATGATACTGATTTCAGGAAGAAATGTATAAATATGATAAAGGTGAAGGGGACCCTCCCCTACCACCCCTGCCAAATATATCCTTGTCCTCACAATCACCACCAAAAAAACTGAAAAAGAGAAAGGCTGAAAACCAAAATACAGAGAGAGGAAAACAGCAAAACAAACTGAAACAAACCTGCACGAGTTAACCTAACTGGAAATCCGAAACTGAACTGAAAGTATTGGAGGTCAAAGGTAAAAGGGCTCTGATCTACTTTTGTGTCTCTCCAATATAAGTTAATAATTTACAATGATGTCTGCTGAAATGTACCAACTGGCAAATTACATCTCGGCATTTTGACAAATTCTCTCCCCAGGAGGGGTGGTCTACTCCTTGCTCTATCATTTGCTAGATAACATGATATTTCTGTTTTCTCCATCAACATTCATCCATTTCTCAATGTTCTTTGCGATATGACAAATTTCTTTGGATGAACTAAGTAAGTATAGTAGTAATAGTTCTGTTACACATAATGGATCTTTATGGATAGTTGTTTCATTTTTCCTTCTGGGAAAACAACTCTAACAAAGACTAAAGCCAAGGGGCTGTTCACTGGGCACACTGCCAGAATTCACCTTAGCACTGGATACTCTAGTCATTGGTCCCATCTGAACACGTTTGCAAACTTGTTGACCATTAGCAAGATTTTCTCTTTTAGGTGAAGAACACTGGGACTCTCGTGCTTTACAGAATTTGGAGGGAATTCAACCTCCCATAAAGACCTAGAGATGCTTAGGCCTGGAAGATGGCCTAATGAGCTTTCCAAAGAATTCCTAGTTTAAAGACAAATTGAAAAATGATACCCCAAATCCCTGCCATGGGCCCTTCTCATCACAGGCATAATCAAGCATCTAGAGATAATGAGTTCTACAACAGCGTCACACAGGTCCCTAAGTTGTCATTATTAGCTGAGCTGGACAAGAGGATTCATATTAAAGTTCATGTTTTTAATTGCCAGCTCAAAATATTTTGTCTTTTCTTTGTCAGGTGGATGCTTCACCTCCAATTCACAATGCTTTTGCTTGTTCCTAAAGGTCTTGGTTATCGTCTAGTTACAAATGGTTGTCTATAATCCCATAACTCAGGAGGCAGATGCAGGAGGATTACCACAAGTTTGAATCCTGCCTGGTCCATACAGCAAGTTCCAGGCCATCCAGGATAACATAGTGAGACCTTATCTCAAAACAGAATGAAACAAATAAAACCAAGCAAGCAAACAAGCAAACAAAAACAACAAAATTAGTTAATTAATTAATTAAACAAAAAAATGTGATAAAGCCAAAATCTAAGGATGAACATCTGATACAAAACCTTGCAAATGGCCCAGCCATAGCTCCCTCACTATTCTTGCTATAGATAAAATTTCTGAGCCAAACACATGTCCTTATCAAAGGGACAAAAAAAACCCAGCTTTTGAAAAACCCTGTCTTAGCAGTTTTCCATTCTCTCCCTGACTGCATAATTGATCAAGCAAACCAATTACAGCCTTTCATCTACAGTCACGCCTGCATATCTTTATACATAAAATCTTCATCGAATAACTCTGGTTATTCTCTAGATTCCCAGGTATGGTTACTGTATGGCCCAATACAGGTTCTCCCATCCCCATCCCCATTCTCATCCTGCCACTATATGTAACTGATGAATTACCCTCAAACTTATATCTTCATAATATAAGTTTTTGACATTTGGCTTTTTCTACCAATGGTGTGAGTAAATTAAGATACCCCAGAATACCAAAACCACTTTTCTCTTTAGAAAAAGAATCTGAAGGATAGAAAGGGAAAGGGCATTGGGCTCACATATGTCCTGTGTCCACACCAACCAACAGTGGGGTACAACTAACTCTATTCTGCACACTGCAATCTACAGTTGTTGTTTTAACCATCTCAATCTTAACATTGAGTTGAAATATATGTAGCTATGTCCTCTGCTCCAGCCTACAATATTTGGAGCCTAATGTTTACTTTAATAACTCTTATTGGTGCTTGAAATGCATTGAATCATTTTGATGTCTCAATCATATTCCCCTGAGAGCCTGGAAAGTCTGAGGTGAGCTTTAAGCTCATCTGCCTAGGTGTTTCTGTTCCCCATGACTTCTCTGCTTTCTGAGGGCCATAATAGCTATGGAACGTCTCTATCATGGTCAGATTTTCCCTGAGAACTAAGCTGTAACTCTCTCTTTTGGATTTGCTAACCCCACTGAAATTTCCATTGCTATTTCTCTGCTGCTCGACTAAGAGGGCTGGAAATCTGGAGACCTCAGCAAATACTCCACAGCCAAGTTCTCCTCCTCATAGCTCGAGTTCTCCCACTAGCTAGTAAATGATTCATCTCCCTTTCCAGAAACATAAAACCTAACTCATGACATTGTTTGCCTTTTCCTCCTCTAAGGTGTGTTCTCAGTTCTCCAGTTTCATCTCAGAAAGTTACAGCCAGCCTGTTGTCAGAAATAACCTTGGCTCTCAAGAATGTGACTCTCAACAACAAAAAAAAAAGAATATGATTGTTTCCACTAAACCAATGATAGAAACGTAGGTGATTGTGGGTATCATTTTCAGATAATACTGTCCATACAAATCACTAAAGGAGGTTTAACAAGTAAAGAAATCTCAGTTAATAATTAAATTGTTACTAGATATACAAATTTAGCAGCTCTTCTCAACTGAGCCTTTAGCCAGGCAATTGCTTTACATACATTTATAAACTGTATATTGCTTTATTGCATTATTTCATGTAATCCTTGCCACAAATATCAGCATGTGCACATGAGAGAGAGAAATCGAGAAAACTCATAGTCATGAAATGACTAAAATTGAGTTTTTCAGACATCAAGAATCCTGCCCAACGTTAGGATTTAAATTTCTTATATGTGATTCCAGAACATGGGTTTTTTACCCACTTCATTAGGTTCTATCCAGTCTCCATTGGCCTTTATAAATTTGGTTAAGGTTAGAATAAAATAGAAGTATCTTAATTTAGAAATAAGCCACCAAAAAGTTACCTACTACAACAATTTGTCACATGCTGAATCTCAACCAAAATTGTCCTTCTATGATCCAGATATTCTCCACAGTACTTCTATTTCTATTTTATTATACTTTATTTTATTTGTGTGTGTGTTTGTAACTGTGTGTGTGTGTGTGTGTGTGTGTGTGTGGTGTCATGGAAGCCAAAAAGAGGATGTTAGAACCCTGGAGCTATGATTATAGATAGTTGCAAACTGCCCCTTGTGGGCAGAAAAGACACACCTGAATTGAATTTAGGTCCTTTGCAAGACCAGAAAGCACTCTTAACCACTAAGCCATCTCTGCAGCCCTGTCTTCGTAATATTTTACCCTCAGAAAACATTGTTAGCCCCTCATCTGATTCAAAACTAATTTTAATTTGCTCTTAAAGCTTGATTTGCTCCTAAAAATGTAAATCACAGGAGTGAGGAAAAATGCATATAATTTTGAATACAATATATATCTTTATGTTACTCTTTAATTATTATACAGTTTATATATGGAAATACAACTTCCATATTCATTAAAATTATTTCATAGAATAAACAGAAAGAGAAATCCTGTTCATACCATAATATATTTATCGTATATGCTCTTCTATAATTCAATCACTGTGTAGTTTCTAGGTGAGTTAATTTTACCTTCCACCTTACTTTCCATTTACAATAGGGAACAGAACTCTTTCACTGAAAACAGTGTGAACTTTTGTTTTTAATTACCTCAAGCTTTCTTCAAACATTATTTTAGAGTTATTCATGATGCTCTTCATCCTTATAGTTTATTAGATATTAAAATTACTTGCATCTTATAAGAAGACTTTTTCTCTTGAAAAAGAAAAAAGATACACGTAATGAAATAAAAGAAACAAACCACCGTTTGATGGATACTCTCACAGTTCCTGACTGCTGGAGACTGAATGCTATTAGCTAATCCTTTGAGTCATTTCTATACACTAAGGCAAACTCACAGGAAACACTGTAAAGTCTTAAGATTTCTCTTTGAAACTTAAGATTTGATGGCTTTCTCCTAGCTACACACACGCCAGCCGAGAGATCCTCTCTGCTCAACAGATGCTTAATGATCAGCCACTGGACTGCATCCGTCTGCCCTAACAGCAGCCTCACCAAATTGTACAGGCTTTAGATACTTTTATAGCTTTACTCACAGCCTCATTTTACCTCCTGATGTCAGGCAGTGTGCATTAACTCCTCTTCGTTCTTTTTCGTCATTCCACCAAGAACT